TAGTGTTGATATTCTCACTCTAGGAAGCTTGATTTCTATGGGCTTGTTTGAAACCTTTTGCCTTTTATTTTTTATTTTTTATTTTATGTTGTTAATAAAATATGTTTGTTATGTTATAATATATTTAGTTGTTTTAAAAAAAATTTAAAATAATTTTTAGTTGTTTTGAATATTTTAAAAATAAGTTAATTATTTTAATAATAAAAAGTAAAACCATAATAAAATGCACTAAATAAATATGTTTTGAAAATAAAAATTATTTTAAATAAACTAAATCGACTTTTCAAATGTAAACTGATTGTAAAGAGCTTACAATCGACAAATGTAAATTGATTGTGGTAACACATAATATAACATTTCTATCTTCGATTCCAAATCCCATTAATATTTAGATATAACATTTTATATATTTATTTTATATTTATCTAATTAGGGCTGTCAAAAAAGCTCGTTGTTCGCGAACAATTCGTGTTCGGTTCGTCAATGAGTTCGTGTTCGATTTGTTCGATAAGTAAACGAGACAAACGCGAACAAATTTTTTTCGTTTATGGGCTTGTTTGCAATCTTTTGCCTTTTATTTTTTATTTTTTATTTTATCTTGTTAATAAAATATATTTGATATGTTATAATATATTTAGTTGTTTTAAAAAAAATTTAAAATAATTTTTAGCTGTTTTGAGTATTTTAAAAATAAGTTAATTATTTTAATAATAAAAAGTAAAACCATAATAAAATGCACTAAATAAATATGTTTTGAAAATAAAAATTATTTTAAATAAACTAAATCGACTGATCAAATGTAAACTGATTGTAGTAACACATAATATAACATTTTTATCTTGGATTCCAAATCCCATTAAAATTTAGATATAACATTTTATATATTTATTTTATATTTATCTAATAATATTATCATATTTAATTAATTTGTATATTTATTTTTTCATCAGATTAATGACTTTTGAAACTTACAATTGACAAAAGAACATTTGTTTGCTGCCCCCACCGACAAATAGGACCATTTGTTTTGACCACTGGGACCCACTGCGTATCCTTCGCTCCCAGCCTGTTAACCTGCACCCAACAAGCGTCAAAATTTGGAAAAATACAATCATCGATCAGCTAAACTACTTAACACCAAACAGCTAAACTCGCCAATCAACACTTCGCACGCCACTAAAAAAGGTAAGGAGCATCTCTATGCAAGCGCCGCACTCCCACAATCCTATGCAGCAACAGTTGCTCGATTGAAGCCTCCGTCGCCACTACATAATCTTCGTTAAAACTTAAATCTAATGTTAATTGAACGGACTAAAACGCATCGATAGTTAATTGCGTACTAACGTCATTATATCGGATTTCATATCACTAGATTGTTTTTTGCTGAAATAGAAGAAGCTCTTCAGAATCAGAGGGGAAGAAGAAGAGAATTAGGGTTTCTTTCTTCTTCTCTTCTGCTCTCATATCTCCTGAATGAAAGAAGGGCAGGAGTAATTCAATAGGAGGCAATCCATTGTTTTGCAATCCGGAATCCAATCTTATCCTCAAATTCTCTGCTTATAATCCGAGAAAAACCAGCGGCCGTCATTTCATCCAGCGTAATGGCGATGGAAACAGAGCAGAGAAGGTACATTTCGTCTGCGGAGCTTGGAAAACACAGCTCCCGTTCGGATCTATGGATCTCGATCCAGGGTAAGGTTTACAACGTCACGGATTGGGTGAACAATCATCCCGGAGGCGAAATCCCTCTTCTCAGCCTCGCCGGACAGGATTCCACAGATGCATTCATCGCCTTCCATCCCGCTTCTGCTTGGAAACACCTCGATCGATTCTTTCTCGGCTATCATCTCGCCGATTACAATGTGTCCGATGCATCTAAAGATTACCGCCGACTGGTTGCAGAGTTCACTAAGCTCGGTCTTTATGAAGACAAGGGCCATGGAGTCCTCTTCTCACTGTTGTTCATGTTTGTTCTCTTCTTCGTTGCAGTTTGCATGATCATCAGAACCGGAAACATTTGGGCTCATCTCGCTTCCGGCGGGATCATGGGGTTTCTCTGGATCCAATCGGGGTGGATCGGCCATGATTCGAGCCCCTATAAAGTAAGAGAATTCATAATGCTCATCACATAGCCTGCAATTGTCTCAATTTCGATCCCGATTTGCAACACATGCCTCTCTTCGCCGTCTCATCAAAGTTCTTCTACTCCATTACCTCCTCCTTCTACAACAGAACCTTGACCTTCGATTCAATCTCGAGGTTCCTGATCAGTTACCAGCACATAACTTTCTATCCAGTAATGTGCTTTGCTAGACTTAATCTCTTTGCTCAATCTATTATTCTTCTTCTATCGATGAAGACGAAGGTGCCGTCCCGCTTCCAGGAGATTGTTGGAGTAATGGTGTTCTGGACATGGTATCCTTATCTGGTTTCCTTTCTCCCAAATTGGGGAGAAAGACTGATGTTCGTGATCGCCAGCTTCGTCATAAGTGGGATTCAGCATGTTCAGTTCTGTTTAAACCATTTCTCCTCTGATGTTTATGTTGGAAATCCAAAGGGCAACGATTGGTTTGAGAAGCAAACGATGGGAACGCTTAACATCACCTGTTCGCCATGGATGGACTGGTTTCATGGCGGACTCCAGTTCCAGACCGAACACCATTTGTTTCCCCGGCTTCCAAGGTGCCATCTGAGGAGAATTTCACCATTAGTGAAGGAGCTCTGTAAGAAGCATGAGTTGCAGTACTCCAGTGCGAGCTTCTGGGAGGCAAATGTGAGGACTTGGAGGACTCTGAGAACTGCTGCCCTGCAAGCTCGTGATTTGGAGGGTTCAGAGAGGAAGAATTTGGTCTGGGAGGCTTTGAACACCCATGGCTGAGAATCTCAGACCTCTTTTGCTGAACTGGTATGTTTCTGTATTTCTGCAATTTTTCTTTGATTTTTGGATTTTTTTTCTTTTTTTGGCATAAAGAACTGATGTGTTTCTACCATTGGTTTGTGTTTCTGATGGAATTTTAGTAGTTTTGTTCTTATCTGAGCCTTTTGTAGGCTCATCTAGCACTATTGTGGGATGAAAGTTCTTAATTTTCATGAATCTGTAATTTAAATTTTTGAATTTGATGTGATTTGGAGGTATTTTTGGAAATTCAGATTTATAAAATTCTGGAGAAATTGTTGAATTATGATTTTTTTTTTTTTGGGGATAATTACATACAGACCACTTGAAACATAAATATTTATAAATTAAAACTATCATACTATTGAGAATTTGATAAAAATGAAATTTTTGGGTTGGGGTTTAAGGATGAATTTGGAAAATGGATGAAAGATGGGGGTTGATTTGTAAATAGCAAAGTTTCGGTTGGTCTGCAATTTCCTCAAATTCCCTCTCTAGATATATAAATACATGAATAGATGTGTGGTCTGTATTTAATAGCAAAGTTTCGGTTTTTTTGTGGTTGGCTTTTTTGGCAACTTTATGTTTTAGAAAAAAGTCACCATCATTTTCTGTGTATTTGCATATTTAACCCCCCCCTCTCTCTCTCTCTCTCTCTCTCTCTCTCTCTCTCTCTCTCTCTCTCTCTCTCTCTCTCTCTCTCTCTCTCTCTCTCTCTCTCTCTCTATATATATATATGACATTTCTTATGCATTAAAAACGGTATTTTATTTTTTAAATAAAAAATGGTATTTTTTTTATTTATGAAAGATTTGGGTGGCATGGCTATAAAAATTAAAATGTAGTTGTTAGATATGTAAATACATGGAAATTGAGTGGTATGTAGGGGTGCAAACGAGTCAGTTCATGTTCAGCTCGTTTATATTTCGAGCTCAAAAAGTGTGTTCGTGTTCGGCACGAACAAAGAGTCGTTTTTACAACCCTAATCACGTAGCCATAAGATATTAAGGATTGGTGCAAGATTTAAAACATCATTTAAATCTAATTTAATAGTTTTTATTCTATTTTTTTCATGAATACTTTTAATTGATTATAAATCTTTGTAGCCTTGTAGTCAATTAAATTTTTTAAAAATACTACTCATCAAAGATATATATGATTAGTAGTATTTCGAGTCAAAACGAGTAGAGCACAAACGAACAAATATTTGTTCGTGTTGTTCGTGTTCGGCTCGGTTACTTAGGGGACGAGGAGCCGAACACGAGCCGTTTTGACAGCTCTAGTGGTATGTGTGTAAATGCCCCTTTAAGATTTATGATTTAAAAACAAGAAAAAAAAAAGAAGAAAAAAATGAGAAAAAAATGCTGTAAAGGTTGCTTTGGCATGGGCTTTTTGCAATTATTTATTTTATAAAGAAAAAAAAGATCCGAAATTCACAGAAATTAAATATTTATAAATTATAATATATTATTATATATATATATTATATAATTATTTTATAATTTAAATAAAAGGAAAAAAAATATGCTCTCTTCTAACAGCTTCATAATTATTTTTCGAAGAACTGAAGCACTTCAAATAAATCCAAAATCTCATAAAAGTCCGGCTTTTTTCCAGGTTTTACAAATGCCAGATTTTGTATGAAATGGAAAGAAAATATAAATTCATAAAGATCGAACAATTTACATGATTAAAAAAAAAAATTTGTTTCACGATATTTAATTTAAATTCCAATTAAATTATTTAAAAGCAAAAAATATTTACATACATACCATACACTCTCAATAGCAAATTTTTAAGCTCGAAATGTAAACGAGCCGGTTGTTCGTGTTCGGCTCGAAATGACTCAAAAAAAAAAATTATATAATTTTTTATATAACAATATATTACATATATTATTTATATAATAATATATTATATATATTTATGTCAAATTTAGATCATAACACCTCATGTGTCAATGTTGTTAGCATCTTCTTTTGTATAGATTTGATTCAGATTCGAATCCCACACTTTACATCTATTTTTCTCAATTTTAGTTTAACGAGCCAATTTCGAGCCGAACACGGAACACACTGTTCACAAGCCTATTTTGAACACGAGCCGATTTCGAACACGAGCTATTTCGAACGAGCCTAACACGAGCCAAGCCTGAGTGACTCGTTTACAACCCTAAATCTCACAAGCTTAGTTGCCTTCCTCACATCCCCATTCACTCCTTGCCATACACCCCTTTCCAAGAAACCACAAATCCTCTCAAAACCATCATCATCCATCTTCTCATAAACCCTAATAATCCTAGCAAAAAAGCTTCTTCGGCCATTAAACGCGACACAATCCATCTCCAACCCTGAACATACATACACCAATTACCTCTACTAACCACTATGAAATCCTTCCACGAGACACCAACATCAGTAGCCATAGCTTGACCCAATTGCTCCGAATGATGGCTAACAATGGTAGCCACCATCAATATGCCTTAATTTGACATTCTAAATATGCTAAATCATAGAGGAGTTCAAGTGTGGATTGGTGACATAAAAATTTAAACAAAAACTTACAATAACAATATCAAAAAGTTCATCAGCACTTAGCATACCTAATGAAATTTAAATAAATAAATAAATAAATAAATTTATTTATTTCACAGGAATCAATTCTCTCTCATACAAGCATTTAAAGATGTACTAGTTCTAAAATTGTTGAATCAAAAGCACAATAATGTCTTACATTGACATCAACAAGAACACGCGCACACACACACACATCAAATAAGATCGAGATCACTAATGCCGGCAAGCTAAGTTCTAGGCGCATGCAAGCGAGATAGCCAACCCAGACGAGTTAATCTTAAACCAATCAGTTCAACCGATTCAAACCCTTCGGAACATCTGATTGCCATATTATTTTAAGTTCACATGAACATCATATTGATCAAAATGAATATCGTATTATTTCAAGTTCACATGAACATCATATTGATCAAAATGAATAAAATTACATACAATTTTGATCCTTCGGAACTTACTTCAACATGCATGATTTGTGACAAAAATTGTGCTTCCTCATACAATAACTTCAAGTATCCCACATTTGTAAAAGACTAAAGTTTTAGGGGTACATACATTTAATTTGTTGATATAAAGGAAGTCTCTAGCTACTAAACAAATACATGTCCTAATCTAACTCTCTTCATCATTTCCTCATGCCCCCAAAACATACACTCAAATCACTAAAACTTAAATGACATATTTCTGCAGTTAATTTCTACCATGATTTCCACCAAGTATTATTTCTGCATTATTTTTCCTCATCATAGCCACAAACTCATCATAGTTGATCTTTCCATCCTGAATGATTAAAAATGTTACCGTTAGCATTCAATTATGCATTCAGCTTAAGGTGTGTTGTAGACAAGAATTTTAAAGAGCATTTATATATATACCGCACAATTCTCATATAATTACATATCTATCACCTAAACATTCATATACCACCACTCAGACCTTTAACATGACAAAAAAAATACCATCACCATCTTCTTAAAAGTGGAATAACTCTTTTCATGCATAGGTTGATGCACTGGGCTGTTATAAGTTGTAAATAATGAACTTTGGGGGTTGGATTTGTAAATACAAAAGAATTGTGTGGTATGGATGCTAACTTCTCTAATTTTAAACTTATATGGTATGTAAGGAATACTGATTGAATTTTGCTCTTCCAAGGGAAAATGATGGCTGTTGCTTAGAATGCTTTCAGATTATGGTTCTTCCATGCAAGAGATGGTGTAAAGTGTAGATGGAATGGTTCATATGTATGGTGTAGAGAGAAAAACTACAAATCAAAAACTAAATAAAAGAATTATGGAAAGTAAACATATTAATAAACATGCAAGCTTTGCATGGAGAATTTGATGAATAAATAAATAAATTTACAAGTAAAGTTATTATATGCTTTCACACCAATAAAGACCTATAATACTGACAGAATGGGGGTCATGTCCATCTGATGATTCAATATCAAAGCAAATGAAAAGTTAGGGGCACTTAACAGACATACCATCCACTTCCTATGTATCTACACATCTAATACCTAAACTTTACTTTTTATGCCACCCGATTTTTTCATTTCATATAATATTAAGAATATCATTATTTTAACTTTTAGAAAGTGAAATATAACTTTTCATGCACATGTAAGGTGACGTATATGTAAAAATTGAAGCTTAGGTGTTAGATGCATAAAAACATAGGAATTGAGTGGAATGTATGGAAATCTTCCTAAAAGTTTACCATGGATCCAAATGTTGCTCCATGGCTGGCCCCTTTGCTAATAGCCAAAGGATAAGTTAAATTTCCTTTACTTTTTTATATCCAAAGACGGCCTTCAAAAAGCACAATTATCATAGTAATTTGTTCTATTCAAAAATAAGTATTTCTACCAAGAAAAGGGCTGAATGTTGTAATAAAATATGTAGCGAGGGAATAAATATGTAAAATTTGAATGAGAAACTTACATGATCCACATCAACTTCTTCAATCATATTCTTTATCAATTTGTCATCAACTACATTATACTGCTGGAGGGTATGTTTCAGCTCCTCCATTGTGATGTATCTAAGCACAAAGAACAAGATGGTGTCATTTATTGCAAAATAGCTGTGCCATTAAGCAATAAAACCCATAGAAAAGCACTTTACCCGCTTCTATCCTCGTCGAAATATAAGAAGGCCTTGTATAAACGATTTTCGCGCTCCATTCTGTTCATATGCATTGTAGCAGTTACAAACTCAACATAGTCGATTGAACCGTTGCCATCGACATCAGCCTGTTAGAAAGCTATTTTAATTTCCCAATCATGCGCTGATCATCAACTAAACACAAAGATACTTTACATATATATCACCCAATTCCTATGTATTTACATACTAACACCTAAATTTTACCTTTTACATTTTCATGCCATTCAAATCTTTCATATCACATAAACAATACCGCTATTTTTACTTTTAAAAAGTAAAATACACCTTTAATTGCATAGGTGAGGTGGCATGCAAGAAAAAATTGAAGTTTAGGTATTAGATATGTAAATACATAGGAATTCAGGGGTATGTATATAAATATTCCGAAAGACAAATGTAATAGAGCAACATAAACTTGATTAAGTTTGCATTGCAGCAAAGAGCATGCATTAGTCGTGTGAAACCCCTTAAAGTACAGTAAAATTGAACTCTCAAACATCAAGCATTTTTTTGTAGTAACGTTTAGAATTTCATTATAAACTCTAAAGTATGTTTGTGCGGGAGGATTCCTATGATGGACGACATCTTGGGAAGTTACACAACGGGACAAAACCGTGAGGCCGTTGGGCCAAAGCAGACAATATCTTGATGGATGAGAGTTTGGGCTGTTACAAATGATATTTGAGTATTACATTGTTTCAAAGATAAGCATATCAACATAATGGATGATTCTAGTGCAAGAAAGCTGATGGGAATGTTATTTACTTGGTAAAAAATATTGTGAAGCCTCTTAAGTAAAATAAAACTAAACTATTAAGTATTGAGGCACCTTTTAGTGCAACGGTTAAAATTTCATCCAAAACTCTAAAGTTAAGCATGCACGTATGGGAGCACTCCTTGGATGGGTGACCTCCAAAAAAGTTATACTGACGGGACAAAACCATGAGACTATTAGGCCAAAATGGATAATGTCTCAATAGATGAGAGGGCTGTTACAAGTTATAAGTTAGCTACAAGACAAAAAGAAAACAAAAAGAAGGGCTCTAAAATGCAGGCACAAACTCATTGAGAACATGAAAATGCACCAAGAACTTTTGACAATAGAATGTACAAACTTTGTTTGCAACCGTGGCATAGCAAGTCTATTTTATATGGATTGGAAGAACTGAACAGATATTAGCTCGGAGCTTACCTTTCTTACGGAATTTAGACAAGTAGTTTTTCATTTTGTTACTCCGGAGCTCAATAGAGCTGCCCATTTTTTGTAACCAAAAGGCCCTTCACATAGTTTTTCTCTTACTTCGACGTCTAAATCTTCGGAATTTTTTGTCATTTTACAAGATGATAGGCCACTTTTGACCATGCCTGAGAGCATCCTTTTGTCCTCTTTGAAACTCCGTTTCATGATTAATGCAAAATGCAATATTTCTAGGGCATTAATTGGTCTATAGATTAAAATGAGAGTAATCCACTTTTTTTAAAATAATAATAATAACAATAGTTTTACCTCTAACTTTTTTATATCTACATAGAATTTTGGAATGAAGGTATTTATCCCCTTGCGACGGCTATTTCCATAATGAAATTGCATGGGATGTTCAATATAATTTATAGGGGCATTTACATACATACCACCCAATTCTTATATATTTACATATCCAACACCCATACTTCTTACATTTATAACATCCAAATCTTTCATATCTCATCAAAAATATTCATATTATAACTTTTAAAAATAAAATACACATTTTCATGTCTCACACACACACACACACACACACACACACACACACACACACACACACACACACACACACACACACACACACACACACACACACACACACACACACACACACACACACACACACACACACATATATATATATATATATATATACTTTTTTTTTTCTTTCAAGATTGGCCAGAGGGCGAACCCCTCAACCCCATGTGACTAATTCAAGGCAAGGCTCGAACCCGTGACTCGTGGAGTTTTCCAAACGCTGCCAACCAATAAGCCAGGGTGGAGTCATATATATATACATAAGAACTGAGTAATATGTATGTAAATCTTCCTAAAATTCGTAAAACTCCATAAACTAGAAAAAGGAATTAGACATGAGGAATTTTATAACTGTGCATTAAGGAATTCATCATACCGCTTCCATCAATTGTCTCAATTCAGATTCAGATTGCTTGGTACCTAATTTAGCTAGCCCTTCTTTTAGTTCATCAAAAGTAATAGTTCCACTGTTATCAGTGTCCATGGATTTGAACATCTGTATTAAACCAATAATTTCTTCTTCTGACAAACTTTCTGCAATCACCTTCAAAGCTACTCTCTTAAACTTATTTGTATCCTTGAACTGTTTCATTCTTGATATCACCGTAATATCAAGTGGTTCATCTGGCGCGTTTCCGTCTACCCTAATCCATGGATGCTCTGCAAAAGAATGAAAGCATGGAATATATATTAAGCGATTAGGAAGTTTAAAATTTGAGAATTTTACAATTTATGATACTGCCTCTAAGGATTAAAAGATTTCACTCAAATTTTACTTTACATAAACTATAAATACGTTTGTTCTAGAGATGTTATTGTTGCCCAATCAGCAAATATAATGGAGGGCAATAATGTAAATAAAAAAGATTATCTCAAAACGTGAAAGGTATAATGATATTAATAGAACGCATGCTATTCATGAAGATTATTTTAAATTATTTTAACTATTTTTATATTATTCATGGCATTATTGTTTCCTTTTATTGTGCTATTCAAATATAATTACCTTTTTTCAAGACTGTAGCATGCTAGAATATCCGCATCAATACAGAGAGAGCATATAATCTTTTGCTATGTAAGAAGATCACTCACGAACACAGTTAGCATGAACTTTCGATGTCACATGAGCGGGATGTCTGTCTGTGGACACGAGATTATGCTTAGCTTCCGTTGTCCAAGAAATAATTTCGGACCTCCTGGTACGGCCCCGAATGTAAAATCAGGACCAGGACCGACTTGATTCTACTGGGGAAAATTCACCGAGAGGCGGTGTTAGCCCTAACTCCGAACATGTTTTACGTCTTTTCTGATGTTGAAAGACGCAACTCCATCAATCTGGGGTGTTCTGAGGCCGAGGGTAGTCGCCAAGATCACCCACGCGCATTTTGGAAAAATTCAGGTTCAGACTGATTTTACCCCCGCGGTCCGGGGCGCCCGTCGACATCAAAAACCCCAGTTTGAAACCTCTAAAATGTTCTTTTTTGAGTTACAGGGTCGTATTCAAGTGATACACAATTTTGCATGACTTCTAGATCGACGAGGACCTTCCAACGGTCATCCGATAAAAAATTAGGGTTTAGAACACACTACCTACGCTGTGGTCTCGGAGGACCGTTAGGAACGGTAGATCAAAATACTCATTTTTAAAGTGACGGGCCTATATTTCAGCCATACATAATCCCCCGTAGCTTACGGATTGAAGAAATCCTCCGTCAGACGATCTACGTGAAAATTAGGACCTTCAGTCCAAACCGGCGCATAAGCGCCCAAAAATGCTTTCCAGAGCATTTTCTCGAACCCTGGGAAAGTAGGTGCCAGCCTACTGGCGCCTAGGCCCCCAAATTGTCTCAAAAACGGCCTTTTTCTTAGCACCCGGGAAGTAGACGTCTGGTGTTAGCAAGTCTGATTGGGCGCCTGATGACAGGCTCACGGCGCCTAAGCGTCGGTCCAATTTCTAGACGCAGAATTTTGAATTTTTGAGCCGTTTTGACCCCGGCACAACCCCCCCTAGTCTCATTTCCCTCATATAGAGATATATCATGCTGAGAGCTTTTGGTCTTGAGGGGAAGAGAAAACTTAAAAGCTTGGAGAAAAAGTGTGTAGAGCAAGGATATTTGGAGGAGAGTTTCCATCTTCTTCAAGGAAAAGGGTAAGGAGTTGGTTTCTTCTTCCTTTTCATTTTCTTCGCTCTTCATCTTATCTAGCGAGTTCTTCCTTTTCCGGCAAACTTTTCGGGAGTTAATGCTAGGAAAGCTTCATCCTAGCTTGGGAGGCCTAACGCCAGCAAACTTGTCATCCTCTCCTACAACCAAGAAAAGCTTCATCCTTCTTTGGAGAAGGAAATCTCCGGTGGTCACGGCATTCTCTCCGGCGATGAGAGCTTCTTCCTTTCATTGGAGAAGGCTTTCGGTGACCGCGGCGTTCTCTCCTACAGCGAGGAGAGCTTCATCTTTGCAACCAGGGACAAAATCAAACATTGTGTAAGTGATATTTTTGTTCCCTTACATTTTCCTTTCCTTAGCTAGCCTTAGGTTTGTGGTAGAGAATGATTAGGGGTAGGTTGTTGTTTTCTAGAGAAAGCACCTAGGATAGGATTTCCGTCGTTGACAACCCTTACGAATCTGAGTGATCTTCCTTGTAAAAGCTTTTGCCCCAACTCTAAATAGTCGGAATCCGTATTTCCCCTTATTTTGGCGGTTCCAACCCTCCGTGGAGGGATTGGAACACTTGGGAATTGAAGGATGAAAAAAGTTTTGTGACTAGTTCATCCTACAGATGATGAAGAATTTTTCATTCGAGGAATTAGAGGGCAAAATTCCCCACACCCTTCGCCAGAGCCGGAGGCGACTATGTTGCACCATACATTCATTGAAACCTAGGTACATATGCTAGAGCGATAGAACAAGTAAAGCTCGCTTGATGACCCTATTTTAAAATTAAAAAAAAATTATTTTTCTACTTATGATATTGATCATACTTTTCAAAATTATGCAAATAGCAAGCTAGGTAATATGCAATTCCAAGTCTTTTCTAAAATCCATCATGGGTGACATTCTTTGAATCTTCAGGACGAGGCCAGTGTAGTGACCACGTTAAATTCATACATACCGGGAGACTTTACCCTGCGAACTTAGATGCTGGTTAGAACACTTTCGTTAGATGATGAGCTAGGCTAGAATTATGGTGTTGAGTAGTCTTTTTCGATGTCTAGTTATTGTTCTTTGTTGGTTAGGTTGCTCAAGTCAGGCATCACTTTGTTTGTCTATTGTGTGTTTACTAAGTGTAGACATACACAATAATATATTAAGAGCAATTTTCTTGTAGGGAACCATGCTTAAATATACACACACATGTTTAATAATAGAGGAGAAATGTAATGATTTCATACTTACTCTTTCTTGTAGGTGTTGTTATAAGCTCCTCATATGCATTGCAAGAGATAACTCGTGCTAATATTTTCTACAGGTTGAGTCCTTTATTTTTCTTTTATCATGTATTTGATAGTCCTAGGATCGAGTCTGTATCGAAAATAAAGTATAGTCACATGTCTCGAGGTGAATGACACATCAAACCACATGACGGGGATCAGGAGCATCAGCTCGTGTCCCGTATCTCAAGTCTGAATTTATACTCTTGTATTTAATTAGGACCGGCATGTATATGCTCGTATCCCGTACCCAACGACACTAGCCTGTTCTTATATTTTGCTTGGTTTGCCTTGATTTTTTTTGTTTTGTGATTGTTTTATTTTCATGTTTCTTTCTGTTTATTTTTTCTGATTGATCATAATCTAAGCTCATTAAGGACCCTAAAATTCTAAACTTTCTACAAAATCTTAATAATAAAAGAATAAAATTAATTAAAATTTAGGGTTAAAATATCCAAACTTTTTTAAAATTCGCAATTTACTTTTCTGCATGGTCTTCGGGCCGATTTTAAAAGAGGTTGCATGCATGAACATATCCCCCGACATAATTAATAAGGCATTCACATCATAGGATTATGATAGACAACTGCATCATATGCATATATCCGAGAAGAAACCCCTGCGCTTCTCCATACCTGACTTGGTCAGACATAAATTTTTACCTAAGAGGTTATCTGGTACGACTAGGGTGTTAGCATCCCTGTCTCAAAAGGGATATAAGTCCTTTGTGTGGAGCGTTTCCAGCTCTACAGCTGAACCTTCTTTTCTCCACTTTCCAACAACAGCTCTGCCATTTTTCTTGGTGAGCATAAGTCTCATCTCTTTGAGCTCTACCTTTTTAGAGTCATAAGAACTAGAGTTTCCTTCTTTTGACTTTAGAGCTACCGAGACTTTCTTGGATTACGCAATTCATGGGTTGCTAACAACGAGCCTCTGGTTGTGTTGGGTCGACTGCCTTCACAACCAGGTAGATTTAAGGTCTACATAGCTTGGGATAACGATTATGTGATATCTTAACCCGACTACCTCTACCTTTTTAGGGGAACTTTTCCTTCTTTTTAACACCTCTTTTGAGCCCTGACAATTTCTTAAACAAATCGTTGTATCGCCTTGTGGGCCCCGCATGCCTAGGCATCACTGCCCATAGTAGTTACGATGATTTACTCTCTACCATATAATCTGATATAAATGTTGAAAGCATCGGGATTTTCCCTTGAGATGATTTAAATCCAATAGTTTCTCAAATAACTAGATTTCATTAAATTATGTAAGAAATACTCTTTTTATCAAGTTTTCTTGGGTATCTCTCAAAATGTAATTAATCAAAGGAATACATTCTTTTAGGAGCTGCCCTTGACCCCAAAACAAAATTCTCTGGTTGTGGGTTGCTTTCGTAAGGTCCTCTTCGCGGATATGTCTCTAAGGTATTTTCAATCCAATCTCATATCGAATGTAAGCTTTGAGGCTATCCACACAAAGTTCACTTTATGAAAGTTTTTCATGTTCTTTCTCTCGTTTTTCTATTGCCCATCGTATATCCCTCCTTTCAGTTTCTCTCCACTTCGGATCATTCATTTTATCTGAGAGGGAGATTTACTCAAATAAGATAATAATACGACAATTATAAATAGACAAGCTGATGACTCCCTCAAAAAAAAAGTAGAAAATAGAAAAAAAGAGCAAAAACAATCACAAATAAAAAAATCATAAGAGACCAAAGTTTTTTACATAAAAAACTCAAATAAAGAAAAAAAAACATGTGGTCTAACTCACTCGAAATAATCTACTAAGAAAGAAATAATATAGAAGTCCACTTTTCTCCCTAATGGGAAAATGCAGGATTAAAAAGTATAGATTTTTTTCTTGACCTCTAATGAATGTAAGACAATAGTCAAATAGATGAACGTCAATCTTATGATTTCAATGTTAATGGATGGTGGCGATCAAGAAATGATCATTAGGTGAGTACAATCGAGCAATGACAATTGGGCAAAGGCAATCCAATAATGAAAATCGAGCAGCAATTTTAGGAGATTATGTTCTAGTAATGAAAATTAATATTTTATATAATATTAAAAAAAATTCCTTCAATTACTACATATCAAATTTGGTAATTTAAAACTATCGTAATATTTTTTTGTAATTTTATAGAATATTTAATTTATTAAACCTTTTTTGAACGTAATTTGGTAATAAATGTGTTCACATTAAAGTATTCTCCTTGCATATTCAATATTTGATTTAATATTAAAAAAACAATGAGATTATTTATTTTACACAATTAATTTTCTATATGCATACATGCATTCCAACCAAAATGTAACTAAAAAAATATGCACGTGTTACATTAATCAAATATGATACTTAATTATGATGACAATCAAGCTACAAAAGCTAGGTGAAGAAAGTCGAGCAACAACGACTAAGCAATGATAATCAAGTTATGATGGTTGGGCAACAAAGTTACTAACAATGAACATCGATGTGAATCGTCGAGTAGAGCTATGAAACTCTTTAGATATTTTAGCACTTTCCAATTTAAGTCATTTTTATATAAAAATGTGGTCTATTTATAATTCTTTAAATTTGCATCCAAGTAATTTTAACCAAAATACTCGAACACTCCATTGAATGATTCATATTACTTCCCTCGATCATAAATCATTCCATAGACATTTAACCATCTCACTAACATTGAAATTTAGTGATATTAGATTCGATGAATATCTCTCATCAAAACACTCATTTGAATATAAGCGCACAAAGTTCAAATATCATTTGATCTCTCAAATTGTGTCCTAAATTTTTTAACATGTTCCAACTACTTAATTTGAGCTCATTTGGACTTATCAAGCTCATCTCATCAAATCATTCACTTTGATTATATGTTTATAAAATTTAAAGTTTAGATGACTATGACATCAATACAAAAAATTTATTCATATAACTACATCATGATTCGTGCCTGATTGATGAATTTTATAATATTTAACATTACTGAATTATCCATGTAACCCTATTTCAATAATCACACAAAATATCATGAAATCCAAATAAAATTTCAATCTTTCCCCAACTTTCTCTCAATTTTTATCCCTTCCATTGAATTCATATCTCTTGCGCATAATTTCCGAAGGTGGAACAAAGTGTTTTAGGGTTTCCCCTCTTGGCAAACTACTTGATTCTCTATTTTGTTTCTCTTTCTACAATTCCAATTCAAATTATTCTCAATTAATGATTGGATTTAAGGAAAAAATAAGCAATTCAAAGCGAACTCTGAGAGAAGTAAACAGAAGATCAAAATGGAGTTTATCATCAATTTGGTATCCAAGCACGTCAAACAATCATCAATTCCAAATGTATATGCACTAACTGTATTTCACTTTAACAAAATGAATATTAACAAGAATCATACTTCTTCAAGATTATTTTATCAATAGTATGTACCTCTTTACTATGATTTTGTAGTTCTAAAATTAAATTCATTTAAGTTATTCATGTAGCGCTGTTTCTAAAAAATAAGGGTATGAAGAATTGCCAAAAAATCATTAAATCGTGAATAAAATTTAAAAGTAATTATTATTTTTTGTTCTATAATATTTCCACTCTCATCTCTCAAACCTCTCAAAGAATTTATCCTTCTTAGGAATATATCCCAAGAACAGGACAAACTATCCTTATGATTTTCCCTCTTGGCCAACAACTACTCTCTTTTAATGTTTTTCTGTGTACAATTTGAAGCCAATTCCCTCTGGTAAGTATTGTGATAAGAAAGAAAACAACCAATTCAAAGGCAATGTTCAGAGAAGAAGAAACAAGAAGATCAAAAAGGAGTTGGAGTCCATTATCAAACAGGGTTTTCCAACCCTGAAACCAGCATATAGTAAAATAAAACTCGTTTTATCAAAATTTGACCGTTTTTCGGAATTAAAAAAAAAAAACTATATTTAATTCAGACAGTCAAGCATTTAACCTTTGCTAATTCGAAATATAATGTAGAATAAAAACATAAGTTGAATTCAAAAAAAAAATGTAACTAGTAACAATAACATAAGAGCACTTTCAATGAAAAATGCAAGAAGCTTTATATAAAGAGGAAAGTGCTAAAATGGTCTCTTGAATCTTCGTAGGGGACCATTGCACTTCCAGAGTTTATGGAAGTGTTAATTTAGTACGCACTTTTTTAATATTTAAAATAGTCCGCAGTGAATACTATTTTAGCTTCCATTGAAACAGTTTGAGGGTTAATTTAGCACTTCTATAAATTCTGAGGCTAAAATGAACTCATATAAACAGTCAGGGGAATATTTTGACACTTTATTCTTTATATAAAGGATATTAAAAAGTAGAAATGCTTAGAACTTACTTAGAATTTCAGCTGCAGAAGGGCGATCCTTTGGATCTATTTGTAGCATGCTACTCACTAACTCTTTCGCGTCAGTGGAGATAGAAGGCCAAGGATCTGAAATATAATCTACATGACCCTGTAGAATAGCTTCAAACACACCCTGTTCATTCTCTGTATTGATAGACACTCAGTGAACCATATCTAAAAAATTTGTATGCAGTATTCTTTATCGAAATTTACATACCTAGCACATAATTCTTATGTATTTGCATATGCCACGCCTAAACTTTCATATTTACACACATAGCATTTTGGTACTTTAAACCTAGCACGAAAATGCATGTTTTACTTTAAAAAAAAATGATAATAGTGCTCTTTTTGGTGTGATGCTAAGGATTTGAGTGATATGTGTGTAAATATAAAATTTTAGGTGTGAGATGTAAATGCATAGAAATTGACTGGCATGTTGGTAAATGTTCCTTTAGATAGAAAATTCTGGAAGAATAAAGACCTGCCCAAAAAGGAGGTACACCAGTAAGAAGGATGTAGAGTATTACTCCAGCACTCCAGATATCAGCCTCCACACCATAATGTCGTCTCAGTACCTCAGGAGCTACATAGTATGCGCTCCCAACAAGGTCACTGAATGTATCCCCTGCACCAAACATGCAATTTTGAAAAAGATTATACTAAGGCCACACTTTGGAAAGCAACAGAACAAGTATAATTATGCGTTCATTCCAACTAATCGGCAAAATAGGAAATTACATCTTGTACAAGACCCACAAAGAACATTTGAAAAGACATCACCTATTTGTCACCAATATTTGAAAAGACATCACCTTTTTCTTTTTTTTTGTAAAGGAGTTTTGCATTTTATGTGACTATGATAGTAAACCCTACTTTTTATATTATCTCACTAACAAAAAATCTAGGTACCTATGTTCACAACTTATTCCTTGGATAATTATGACTACCCTTCAATTATTATAAAATATGAGAAAGATATGTCACGACACGACATGTGGCTTAGAATTAACTAAAAACGAGAACAGACAATTAGACAGTATTAACATTTAAATAATTATTCACAAAATTATAAAATCTTCCAAAGGATAAAAGAGCCACTGAATTCCACAATTTCTTATAAAGAAATTTAAATCATCCAACTAAAGTAGAAATAATATGCAAGTAAGAATTTCAATCTACACAATAATATATCACTTTCAAAAGAAACGGTGCAAATAAAAAACTACAAACACATCAAAAATTATTACCTATCAGCTGCAGTTTTCCTCCTGTAAACCAAGTCTTTGTTACCAAACATATCAACTTATAATTTTTTATTTTTCTAAAAGAGACTATTAAATTCAACAGTAAGTTTAACTTAGCAAGCAATTACCATCTTAGTACGCATTAAAATATTATGTTAGTGTTATTCATGAATAACAAAAAGAATATACAGTTCATTACTTTATAAAATTGTAAACTTTCACTTTATCAATTTGGCTTGTTTTGATTTTCCTGAAAGAGAATCAAATTCAATAGTAAATTTGATTTAGGGAGTAATTATCATCTTAATATGCATTGATTATTGTGTCAATGTTATGTGTGAATGACCAAAAGAAAATATAGTTCATTATTTTATAAAACTATAAACTTTTACTTTAATTTTTATTTCTTCCTATTTCACTTTAAGTATTTATCTTTTTTAACATCTTTAAGAGCCATAATAGAATTACAGTCATACCTAAAGATATCCTCAAAAATATACTCGAAGGAACCCTAAAAAATTATACCCGTAGATATTTTAAAAAATTACACCCGAATGTACCCTCAAAATTGCACTAAAAAGTACATCTTTATCATTTCCTTTAACGTGAAAGGGTACATTGCCTCAGCTGCAAGTACCATCTGGGGTAATCTTGTATGATTTAAACATTTACATTATATTTCATTTCATATGAATTTAAAATCCTTCGAAATGTACATTCATATATTTATTATTTTCCTCTCATTTGTGATATTATTTCAAACTCTCAAAATGTCAGACATGAATGAAATACTTATTTTAAACCATTTAATAAAGTAACTATTCATTTACTAAAATATTCATTTAATGCATTAAAAAATAATTACTCACCTTTATTTTTAAGAGACCTCAGAATTACTTATTCATCCACTAACTTCTTTGACTATATATTAATTACATGTGCATATAATTATAAGAATCTCATTCTAAAAAGAAGATTACATGTATTTAATGACATGATTAAATTGAGACATATAAATCAATTAGCAATTCCTTACCTTAAAATTTAGCTTGCTTCCATGTACAAGTCTTCTCTTTCTCCCCTCAATGTCCAAACAATATCTCTGTTACCTCAAGTACTTCATGATTTCAATTACAGTTAATATTAACACTTAAAGAATAAACTTAAACATGCACAGAATTCATTAATTGAATTAATATAGCCCATACTTACCTTACAAATAATTGTTTGACTTGGTACACCTTCCCACACAATCTTCCACCAACAATGCATGTTTTAAATTCATAAACCATATATCTTAATATTATAATCTAATTAATTAATTAAATTTAAACATTTAAAACTTAAATTAAATCAAATAAACTAACTCATATGCACACAATACACACATAAATTTATCTAAATTAAAATCTTAAGATTTATCTTTTAAACCTTCTGTCCGAACCTTCAACCTAGCACAACCACGAGCTCATTTTCGAGGTCCTCTACCTCTGGTCGTGAGTTCAGCTCCCTCGCATGCACGAAAGCCCCTGGACCTCAACTCTCCTTCCCCTCTTCTTCACACACACAAGCACCACGGATCGAGTCTCCTCCCTCTTCTCCCCACACACAAGCACCACAAATCACGTCTCCTTCTTCTTCTCCTACGGCACAATAACCTAACATGCGCAAAGTTTGCTTCCGGGACTTCTTCCTCTAACCACAAGCACGGTGTCAAAGTCTCCCCCTTCCTCCTCAGCCTTCGATTTGCAGCTCAAAGAAGCACCGCAGGCACAATAGTTGTGTCGGCTTCGACAACTCCAGGCGAGTCATACCAAATGATGACATGGATTTCTCCTTTCTTCTTCTTCTTTCTCCTCTTCTGATTTTGCTCCGCTTCTCCTATGGTTTTTTCTTTCGTCTCCTTCACTGATGTTACTCCCTCTTTGTTTATTTGGTTTGAATGGTTAATAAGACTCTTAAGTCGTAACTAAAGGGGTGCTTATCTTAGTGCCAATTGATTATTTAGTAATTTTTATTTATTTGCATATTTAATATTCATTTATTTATTTATAAATTTCAGTTATAAAAGATTATTACAAAATTCTAACATTTATTAATATTTTAAGCAATTACTATTTTATGTTCATTTAGATTTAAAATACATTATCAATTTCTTTACAAATTTTAATTTTGTTAAATCATTTAGCCTTTCTCATTATCACCTTTTAAAAATCTATATCTATCTTAAAGTTCTTCATATTGTTAAAGCACTAAAAACTATATCTATCTTAGAGTCGTTCATATTGTTAAAGCACTTGGTGGGCTAAAATTGGAATGTAAAGGGTGTGGAGAATAAGTTAGATTGGTTGTGCCTTGGGTTAAGAGGTTGGCTGAGGATGGGGTGGCTTGGGGTATTTATTTGTGATCATAGTGTGGTAGAGGCCGCTCGACCAATAGTAGTGTTAGGTGTTGCCAAAAGGTGAATGAAGGTGCAGAAGTGGAGGAAATAACGTGGCGTGGTTTGAGGATCAAGAATCCAAGAGCTTGAAAAGGAATGGCTATTGTTAGAAAGGTAAGCAAAGTCCTTGAGGAAGATTCTATGATTGGTAGGGGATTTTTGAGAAACAATAAGAAGAAGCCGAAATGTGATAAGGAGGCTCCAAACCAAAAGCTTTATTGGCTTAGCGTATAGAGAAGGAGGCAAAATAAAGAGTTTGTATAACAAAATTGCTTAAGCTAAGTGTTACAAAACTAGGAATTAGAAATATCTTTATGCAAGCTTCGGTATGCTGTTCAATGCAAGATTTGGTGACCTGGTGATATAAATTGAGACTGGGCTTCATGAAAAATAACTTAGTCAAAGTGTCAAGTTGTGTAGTTAAATGTAATTGCATAATGATTGCATCCTTCGATCGAGTTAAAATTGTACTAATCCTAAAATTATATTGTTTTGCCTATTCTATACATAATAAAATAAATCAAATTTTGTTTTAAGTTACATGAACATTATCCTAACAAATTTACCTGACCCAACACTTGTGATCCATTAAATAAAAATTACTAAATAGTGTTAATTTAGTTAATTAACTGTTAGTTAATATTAAATAGGACTTATGTGCGAATTGATGAATTTGGGCTCAATGCATAATCCATCGGACTCACATGGTTAACTTAATTTGGCACCAAAGGTTATATTTTTATTATAATTCCACTTAAAAATAGAAAGTTTTGATAGTATTTTTTATTCTATCATGCCCTGACCCTCATACCCCTGGAAAAACCAAAAGTCCTGGGGCCTACCATGAAGTGCACGACAAGAAACCCATCACCTAGTTTCGCCCAATAATTTGATGATATACAAATAACGGCTAGTCCGCACATGGCATTAAGAATAATATTATAGTCATGAGAAAAATTCCTTATGAATTTATAGAGATGCTAAAATTTATAAATAGAAGAAAAAAATCAAAGATAAAAACTTCATAGATCTCAACCAAAAAATAATTCTTAATGAAAATCCTTCTCCCTGAAAGTCCAAAAGCTTAAAATTCTTCCTCATGTGCAAAGAGCTTTGATCAAAGTGTGGGTGCCAAACTTCCACATCATAGCATAAATTTTAGTGTTTGTTCTATAACAATTAAATGCAAAAAGATTATTCCATAATTTCTGTTTTTCATTTTTATTTTTGTGACGTTCTTGCACTTGATTGTAACTTGTACCTACAACTCTATAAATCATGTAGTACTGTATGTAGGGTGTGGTTTTTTTCATCCATATAAGAGAATACGTTGTGCAATCGTCTCTCTATCAGCTAATAAAACTGTGGAATCCAAAGCTGGTTGAGCCTAATCACATAAGAACTAGTGGTGCGTTAATTTTCAAGCATATTTTTACAACTCTTTTGTGTTTAGTTGCTCATTTATACTCACATATTATGCTAATTGCTCTCTTATGCTTCGTTTAGGTCTATAATTAATTTTTTTTTAAAACACCATGATACTTGAGAAAAGGGATTGGAGAAGATTCCACATAAACAGTCATAGAAAACAGTTTAAGACAACAAAAAAAAAACAACCATAATAAAGATAAGATGCACTAATAAAAAAATATATATAAGGATACAAGAAGGATACATAATTTACCACTCGAAGGATTGACGGATGTCACCACAAACAACAAAGGGATATAATTGCCACCACCCAATATTATGGATATAGACCCGTCCCAATCCGAGAACCACAAAGGGAGCACAAACCCTCACAAAACTCAAATGAATAAAAGACCGCTAATAGAATAAACGACTACATATTTATGATCAACAAAGAACCTAAAACTAATAAAAACAAACCGACGAAAACATCTTTGTTACTATTAGGAGTGAGTGGCAACCCTAGCCCTAGAGAAGACTAAATTGGTCCGGGGTTAGGGTGGCGACAAAGAGGCAGCGGGCTGGAATGAGAGAAAACAGGTGGTTGGGAGGCTGGACTGCAGGAAAGATAGCAAAGGTTGTTGTGTCAGGCGGCTACAATAATGAAAGGAAGCGGGAGAAAATGTGAGAAGGTTGGAGAAGGGTAGAGGGCGAGTGTGCGAGATGATTTTTTGTTAAGGGCACGAAAATTGGTTTTGGCTATGGTTTGGCGGGATTAGGTTTGAGAGGTGAAAGAGTGGATGGGGCAGATTTTTGGTGCATAAAAAATATTTATGGTTACTGATTTTGAAAATTAATAAGGGGCAGTTGGGGTTAAGTCAAGATTTGGCTATAGTTTGGTGGGATTTCGGATGATTTTGGTGACCCAAAGATGAAACTAGGATTAGGCTAGCTCCGCCACCAAATGATACCTGAGAATGGGGGTTGTAGAAGATTCAACAAGAACAGCCAGGAAAACAATTTAAGATAGAAAAAAATATATAACCAAAACAAAGACAAGATGCACTAATCAAATAAAAAATATAAGAGTTTCCTACTCTGGCAACCGATCGAGATACATAAATCACCACTCTAAGGAAAGGAAAGAGACCTGGATGTCACCAACAATAATAAAGGGATACGATTGCACCAGCCAATGTCATGGATACAGACTCTTCCCCGTCCGAGACCCACAAAGGGAGCATACTGTCACGTACAAAAAGTCCCGCATCAACTAGGTGTAGGGTCGAAAAACAGTATTTAAGTCCTAGGCTGCACACCACCACTAAGAGCTCTTTTGGGAGGTGACAAGTGGTATCAGAGCAGATTACTGTCTGCCAAGTGTGTAGACTCTCCATGGTCCAGAGAGACCCTCAAAGGAGCCGATCCGTGACGAGCGCGTCACGTGATTGGGTGGAGGATAATATCACGGATAAAAAGTCCCACATCAACTAGGTGTAGGGCCGAAGAACAGTATTTAAGTCTCGGGCTGCCCAACACCCCTAAGAGCTCTTTTAGGAGGTGACAAGTGGTATCAAAACCAATTACTGTTTGTCAGGTGTGTGGACTCTCCATGGTCCAGTGGGACTCTTGGTGGAGCCGATCCGTGACGAGGGTGTCACGTGATTGGGTAGAGGAGAATGTCACTGACAAAAAGTCTCACATCAGATAGGTGTAAGGCCAAAAAAATAATATTTAAGTCGTGGGCCTCCCACCACTCCTAAGAGCTCTTTTGAGAGGTGACAAGTGGTATCAGAGCAGATTATTGTCAGTCAAGTGTGTGGACTCTCCATGGTCCACTGGGACCCTCAGAGGAGCCGATCTGTGACGAGGGCGTCACGTGATTGGGTGGAAGAGAATATCATGGATAAAAAGTCTCACATCAGCTAGGTGTAGGGCCGAAGAGTATAATTTAAGACCTGAGCAGCCCATCACCCCTAAGAGCTCTTTTGGGAGGTGACAAGTGGTATCAGAGCAGTTTACTGTCTGCCAAGTGTGTGGACTCTCCATGGTCCAGTGGGACCCTCAAAGAAGTCGATCCGTGACGAGGGCGTCACGTGATTGGGTAGAGGAGAATATTATGAACAAAAAGTCCCACATCGGCTAGGTGTAGAGCCGAAGAGCAGTATTTAAACCCAGGGTTGTCCACCACCCCCTAAGAGCTCTTTTGGGAGGTGACAATACGCCCTCACAAAACTCAAATGAACAAATCACTCTCAATACAATAATCGATTACATATTTATAATCAACAAGGACCTAAACCCAATAAAAACAAAAATATGAAAATACCATTGTTGCTATTAGGAGTGGGCGGCAACCCTTGCCCTAGAGAAAAAGTCGACCGACCCTCCCCCACTTGGAACTAATTGGTTCATGGTCCTCTCGCCGCCCTACTTCACAACCAATAAATGGTGTAATGTAATTGTCTATTATTATTAACTTTTTTTAGCTTTCTTTCTTTCAAACTTCTATGAATGCCTCTTAGATGGTATGGAGGGGTTTAATTCCCAATATTCTCCCCCTCATTTTATCTAAGTTTTTATTAAGACCAAGAAGAAATTTGAGGTCCTCTTTTGTTCAATAACCTTCTGATACAATGCAAAGTCGTCAGGGCATTTCCAAGAATAAATCTAATATATATCCAGTTAAAGCCAACAATGTGTGAGAGTGTTAAAAAATTGAATAACACTCAATTCTCCTTATCGTAGATCATGTGGTCCGGTCATAATTTCAAATAACTTTGAAGAGTTTTCAGAGCTATAATAAGTTTCACATGAAGCCTCCCATATTTCTTTGGCTATCCCATAGAGCAGAAAAATTTATCCCATCTTCGTGGTCATGGAAGTCATTAACAATAACAACCAAATGGTCATTTGTTTTCTAGGCCGGGTATTTAGAATCTATCATTTCTAGAGCCAAAATTTACTGTGAAATGTTCATCTTTTCCTCTGTCACAAACGTACATGAAGACGGAATGAAACCATTAAAAAAAGTTTTCGCCATGCTGTTTATCGTTAGTGATTAGATGGGATGAGTTGTCAGGTACATTGGATATTGAATATGTAGGCTCAGATTGGGTGATGAATTCAAATGAAGAGATTTCAGACTATGTCATGTTTGATTATGATGAAACTGTGAGGCTTGAATCTAGAAGAGTTGCTGCTCGAAAGAAAGTGAGAGGAGGACACTTAGTTTGACTGCTTGGTTGGACAAGCGAACAGGAACAAGGAGGAGGAGTGCAGCTCTCAGTTTCCACGATTTTAACATGTCAAATTGATCACAGGAGTGGCATCGTCCTCTGCTTTAGCGAATCGAAGAGGAAGAACAGTTTTGCGATCTGACTTACTCAGACAATTCGAACAAACAGTTTCTGAGATGAATGAAGTTACCAGTTAAATTGAAAGAGTCGGTCAAACGCCAACGACACTGCAATCACGAAGATGAAGGAGCCGAACGATGAGTCACAAACGAAGCAGCGATTGAGCGTAAGAGAGAGTCAGAGGAGGTGTTCGAACGGCAGCGATCAAAATAAATCTCTTCAAATAGGAAAAAAAATAGAAAATAGAAAATATAAATAAATAGAAACAAAATAAATATATATAATAATAATAATAACTTCAAATTCAATAAATTTGAAATTGATCCAAATGAGAAAACCCTAGGTAATAATGCAATAGAGAATCAATTACCAGGCTTGAAGAAAACGGACAGCCCGAAATCCGTAGCTTTCAGAGGTGAATCCTCATCTTTGCTCAAGAACAAGAAGTTCTCCGGCTTGAGATCCCTATGCATAACACCAAGCGAGTGGCAGTCATGAACCACCGTGATAATCTCCCGGCACAGCAACGCGGCCGCTCTTTCCGAATAATAGCCGCGCTCAACAATCCGATCGAAAAGCTCCCCACCCTCGCAAAGCTCCATGATCAGATTCACCGATTGCCGATCCTCATAAGCCCCTTTCAACTCAACGATGTTCCGATGGCCGGTTAGATGATGCATGATCTGAACTTCACGGCGGACGTCTTCCACCATTTCGCCATTCATCAGTCGTCTGGTGGCGATCGTTTTGCAGGCGAACGATTCTCCAGTTTCCCGGTGAGTGATCAAGTAGGTTACGCCGAACTGCCCTCGGCCGAGCTCGCGGACGAAATGGTAGGTGGAACGAACGTCATCTATCGGCCGGCGGAGAACGCGGCCCGCGGCGGGGGGGGGGGGAGGTGCGGCTGACGGGGGG